TGTGTCCGCCGAGAACTAAAAAATAAATATTAAAATTCTCTCTCTCTCTCTCTCTCACTCTCTCTTTAAAAAAAAAAGGGGGGGGCCATCTTCCCTTCCCTTCCTCCTTCACAGCCAATCAGGGAGGTACTCCGCACTTGTATCCTGTTTTCTCCCCTGAATAAACACTTAAAAAAAAAAAAGAAAAAGAAAAAGAAAATTGTCTTACCTTCAACCTTTGAAAAATTAAAAAATTTGGGTCTGTATTCCTCTAATTCAGTATTTTGACAAGGATGAAAGTCCTTTATTTGATCTCCAGGCATGCAAAATTTAACAATATATTTCATTTTAACCTGATTGGTTTTATATATAACAAATTCATCATCCTAGAGTAAAAAGAAATTAATGGGTGATAAAAACAAAAGCAATTGATATGCAGATGTTCTCATAAAAGTAGAATTTCACATTTGCTAATTAGAAAATATGGAATCCAGGTAGTAAACAATAATTATTTAAATGAAAGCATATTTAATAAAAATAGGAGCAAAGGTAATAAGGCTATATATTGGCACTCAAGCTTTTCTTTGATTGTTTTGGGGCTTTGTGTTTATTTTTTGCTGGGCTGGGGATTGAACCCAGGGCCTCACACATTAGACCAGTACTATACAAGTGAGCTATACCTCCAACCCTGCCTGTTTCTTGAATAAAAATACCTTAAAATCTGTGGGGATAGAGGCTGTGTCTGAAACTCCATGCACGCTGTCATAGCCAGGTGGTGCTTCTGTTAAGGAAAAGTCCTTCTTGAATAAGTCCATACATTTTCCAAGGGCTACATCACAGATGACCAGGAGTCTGGAGCCATCTACCTCTCCTGGGTGTGAGTATTTTATGCTTGTGCTGCATGTAAAAGGAAATAAGCATATATTTATAATTTAGAGCTAAATATCAACAACACTTTGCATAAACAGAAAGTAGAGGTTGGGCATCCCTAATCCAAAAACATGAATCTAAAATCTGAAATGCTCTAAAAATCAAAGCTTTCTGAGAATTTAACATGATGCCACAAATAGAAAATTCTATACCTTATGTCATGTGATGAGTCAAAATGTTAGAGCACTAAAAATACATAGAATTACCTTTGGGCTATGTGTACAAGATACACATATGTAATCCATGTTTAGGCTTGGGTACCATTTCTAAGACATCTCATTATAAATGTGCACATATCCCCAAATCAGAAAAAAAAATTCAAAACACTTCTGGGGCTGGAGTTGTAGCTCAGTGGTGGAGTACTTGGATTCGAGCCTCAGCACCACATAAAAATAAATAAATAAAATAAAGGTCCATCAAAAACTAAAAAAAAAAAAAAAAATTAAGAAAAAAACACTTCTGGTCCCAAGCATCTCCAATAAACAATATTCAACCTGTGTTGTTGAAAAAACTTTCCTGATAGACTACTCCGAATTTTATTGTTATCTCTTCAAAGATTCAAGTTAGAACTTTATTGTGCACTTATTTATTTAAAAGTATAATGTAACAAATATGTATATTATCCTTAGTTATGCCACGTAGTGCTCAAAGTACTTTGTTCCAAGTGAGAGAACGAATTTTATTGTTCCTCCAAATCTTTGCTAGCCACAAAATATACACATTCTACTATAATAAATGCCAGACTGGTGAATAAGAAGAAAAAACTTCACCTTATTAATTAGGAAAGATTAGACTGAATTATCCACACTAAAACTCAGAAAGAACATTAAATACTAAGTGAATAAAAACTGGTCAAAGGGAAAGACAGACATTGTATCCTTCCAATGCCTTCTTGTATTCTCAGAATGCCTCTGATTAAATGAGACATAAAAATTTCAAAAGACACCTGAAAGAGAGATTGATTCTGTTTCCCTTTGGGAATTAATAAAATAAGGCTTACTATTAGAAATACAGACTAGGATGTATTTGGGGGCAATAAAACTTCAGGACACACCATTTTGGGGGGATACTAGGGATTGAATCCAGGTGCTCTGCCACTGAACTACACTCCCAGCCTTGTTATTTTTTACTTTGAGGCAAGGTCTTGTTAAATTGCTGAGGCTAGCCTCGAACCTTCGATTCTTCTTCCTCAACTTCCCAAGCTGCTGGGATTACAGGTGATTTATGTATTTTTAGTGCTCTAACATTTTGACTCATCACATGACATAAGGTATAGAATTTTTTATTTGTGGCATCGTGTTGATTCTCAAAAAACTTTGCTTTTTGGAGCATTTCAGATTTTAGATTCAGCAATGTTGAACCATTCCAACAGAACAGGACACAACTTTTTTTTTTTTTTTTTTTTAAAAAGAGCAAGACCAAACTGTCAGTATTGCTGGAGGACTCTTCTTTGTTCTACTTCCTAAGACTTGTACTAAAAAACAAACAAACAAACAAACAAACAAAAACAGTTTTCCCCACTCTTCCTATGAACTTCTCCACTTCTGTGGGCACTTTCCCTTGTAATTTACGAACATGCCCATCAAACCTGACCTTTGCTTTGCTCTCTCACTATCTCCTTCCTTCTCACCACCTTCTTGACAGATGAGTCCAATGGCCATCTGTTTTCACCTATCAACTGACCATTCCTCTACCCACTGCAATTTATTCTATTCAAAATAATTCTTTTTAAATAGGAGAAAGAACACATATACACACAAATCATTACATGTCTAAGGCAGGGGGATAAGAGTATTAGACTTCTTTATTTAGACTTCCTCACTGAAGCCATTCTACTGAAAGTCACTGAGGACTTCAATTTTGTTAAATCAATGAAATGCCCAGAAAAACATGGTAACATCTAAAAAAATATTACTTTGTAATACTGTATATATGCAAATTTATAATATAAATGTTTAAAGAATAATACTGAGAAGCTCCATATAGTGATTGCTCAGCTTAAGAATGAGAGGAGGTCAGGAGCTTCAGATATAAAGATTGCCTGCTCTGAGGAAAGAGACTAGAAAGGAAGTGTCTGTCAGATCAGGCAAGGTGGGCATCAACCAAAGGAGGCAGATTTAAAAATGCCGCCGAAGGAGGCTTTATTGAGATATCACTCCCTGGCGGAATTCGATCAGACCCACAGAATGGACAGGAGAAGGGTCTGAGGAGAAACTGAGTGGAAGCTCGACCGGACTGGACTTTTATGGGGCTCACGGCAGGAAGGGAAGGGCTTGGGACAGGAAACGGTGTTTTTAGGGTCCTTTGTCCCATTGGAGTTGGTCAGGGGAGTTGGCTGAACTCCAGAATTGGCCAGGGGGTCATGCTGATTGACAGGCGTTAGTCAGGAGATCTGGCTGATGGACAGGCATTTCCACTGGCACCTGATTGATGTTCCTTTCCTGCGCGTGCTGCTTTGTTCTAAGTCACCACTAAGTCACCACCAAGTCACCACCATCGACCTAACAGTGTCCTGCCTGCATCCTATTTTAGCTGCATGTCCTGTGGCAAGATCTCCTATGTGATCTCCTCATCTGTTACAGGATAATAAGAAGAGTTACTCCAAGGCACTATTGTGAGGATTCAGTGAGAAAATATATGTAAAAACTCTTTGGAGAGTAAAAATCACTAAGATTATTTCAGATATAATTTCCTCAAACATTTATCATAAAAACCTTGCTTCTACATTACACTGAAAAAACTGGTTGTTTTCAATGCTTGGTTTTGTGGGTGAAAAGATTCCTGGGGAATGAGAGTGAGTTACACGATTCAGGATAGAGCATACTAACCTGAGAGAATCACTGAAATAAATCCCACTGCCAAGATTTCCAATGTCTGTTCTTTGCACACCATGATCTTCAACTACTTTGGGTAAAAGTAACCCTCTGAAAAGGAAAGCTCATTATAATGACTTACTAGAAAAAAAATTTATTATACCTTCATCAATTCAGCAGAGATAGGTACTAATTAAAAAACATGACATGCATTTTTTAAAAATGGAAAAGTATAGTTTGCCCTTTATATCGACAGATCAACCAGCCACAGATTGAAAATATTCTGAAAAAAATATAATTTAATCTGACTGAACATGAGCAGGCTTTTCTTCTTGTCATTATTCCTTAAACAGTATAGTACAATGACCATTTATTTATTTATCTATCTATCTATTTATTTATTTATTGGTACTGGGGATTGAACTTGGGGGAACTCGACCATTAAGCCATATTTCCAGACCTATTTTGTATTTTATTTAGAGACAGGGTCTAAGTTGCTTAGTTCCTCACTTTTGCTGAGACTAGCTTTGAACTCATGATTCTCCTGCCTTAGCCTCCCGAGTTGCTGGGATTATAGACATGTACCACTGTGCCTGGCTAGTACATCAATTAATATAACATTTATAGGGCTCTGGCTATAGCTCAGTAGTAGAGTGCTTGCCTTGCAGGTGTGAAGCACTAGGTTCAATCTTCAGCACTACATAAGTCCATCTACAACTAAAAAATATTTTTAAAACATAACACTTATATTATGTTTGACATGTCATCTGATTTAAAGTATATAGGAGGAGTTACATAGGTGCTACACAAATATGTCATTTTATACAGGGCCCTTTAGCATCCTAAGATTTTGGTATCTAAAAGGGTCCTAAAAGTAATTTCCTGAGGATACAAAGGGGTGACTGTAATTCCCCAGAGGAGTTCCCCATGCCATTAAACTGTCACAAGCTATGGCTGGTTTCTCATCACTATCTTGATCAGTGCTGGGCTGCTAGCTACAGCTCCTGCTTCCTCCAGGTGGGTCTCCAGTGTAAAGTGCCAGCTGCCTCTTTCCCTTGCTTCTGGACTTACATATTCAGAGAATCCTCTGTAATGAAAGTTAAACCATAGTTATCTCTACAAAGGAAGGTAAAGGAAGACTTCTGTCTTTCATTATATATACATCTATTGAACTATATATTAGGAAATTGAATTAATTTTATAAAATAGCTTTTGGTTTTGGGTCCTGTATAGAAAGGCTATTTCTACTCAGATGATTTTTTTCCCCATATTTTTAATTGGCACATTATAACTATACATAATGGTGGAATTTGCTGTCATATATTACTAGATGTACAAAGACTAACATTTTTTAAATTCTTCAATTTTTTAATTTAGTTTTTTTTTTTTTTTTGCAGTTCTATGGAATCAAACCCAGGGCCTTGTATATTCTTGGCACATACTCTATCTCTGAGATACATCTGTAGTCCTTAAGTTTCTTCTTAAGTACTTAATTAAAAGATCTAAATCTACTCATAATTCTCCTTGCCCCTATAACTTCAGTTTCAGCCCTAATATTAAGTGGTTATTCAAAGAAAATAGAAAATTAGAGTTATGCTTTGGATCAATAATTCACACTATCTCGGCACTCTAATTTCTAGACCTTCTTCTTTTTTTAAGTATTGGGCTATACTGAGACTTGATACACATGGAAAAGTTAGGGGATGTAGAATTATTTTTCCTCATATGATGTGATCTTGAGGGAGCAACACATACCTTTCTAACACATTTCTTTAAATACATAATTTAAATTACATACTTAATTATTAAGTGTTTAATGTTTCTCTAGAATATAGTAAGTTTGCTGTTTTTAACTTTATTTATTTATTTACTCTGCCAACTCTAAATATCTGCTAGATATCTACTGAACTTTTATTGTAAGAATTAAAAGAAAAACCTTGAGATTACAAAATTATATTTTAAAAAAAGCAAAACAAAACAAAAAAATCATTATTAACTGAAGAAATCCTGAAAACAACTCAAATATCCATTGTCAAGAAAATGATTCAATTAATTTTATTTATTTATTTACTTACTTATTTGGGTACCAGGGATTGAACTCAGGTGCACTTAACCACTGAGCCACATCCCTAGTCCTATTTTGTATTTTATTAGAGACAGGGTCTCAGAGTTACTTAGCACCTCACTAACTTGCTGAGACTGGCTTTGAACTTGTGATCTTCCTGCCTCTGCCTTTGAGCCACTAGGATTACAGGAGTGTACCACTGCACCTGTCCGTGCTTTTAACTTTAAAGATCCACATAGTTTATTTATTTTGTTGGAGCTGGGAATCAAAGACCCATATAGCTAGAAAAAAGTAGAAAAGGAAGTAAAACACTTCACATTTGTCAGTCTGAAATTTTTGAAAAATAAAGATGGTGTACCCTTACCTGGACAAGATTCCTACAATGTTTTGTACAGGAGATCCATGCAACAAGGACCTCACGTTGCCAAGTTTGCTCAAAAATTCTGTGGCTTCATTCACTCTGCCAACTCTAAATATCTGCAAGATATCTACTGAACTTTTACTGTAAGAATTAAAAGAAAAACCTTGAGATCACACAATTGTATAAAAAAAAAGCAAAACACACAAAAAATCATTATTAACTGAAGAAATCCTGAAACAACTCAAATATCCATTGTCAAGGAATTGATTTAATGAATCACAACACAACATATTTTGGAAATACTATGCAGCCATTATAAAATCACATTCTTAGAAAATAGATAACGATATGTTGCAAAGTTTACAGAAAAATACATATTTTTCTTCCAGAATAAAAGGGTTTATTGAGCCATGACAGATTCTAGCCAGAAAAAGAAATGACTGGGTCCTGGGAAAGTTCCCAAAACTACCAGCCAACAAGGACGTGTAGCAGCTGGAAAAATGTCCCTATAATAAAGTAGAAAATCTAAAAGATCACAAAACTTTATGACAGTATGATCCCAAATTTTTTCAATTAAACAATATACAGTATATATAGTTTCATTCATGTACATATACATAGGTGTATATGTACATGAATACATGAATGAATGAACCCATGTAATCTGTTTTCTATGAAAACATTCACTCATTTAATAAACATAATCTGTGATGAATATTATTTCCAGTGCCTAAAAGAAAGAATAATATTCTTCCAGGTATTGAAAATAAGATAATATGGTCTCTGGCTTCACAGAGTTTACATTTTAATTAGAGAGACAAAGATTAAGTGTTACCAAATACCTTATTTAACAAGTGACTAAAGAAAGCAATCAGATTTAGAGAAAGAATAATTAGAAAAGTTACCCATTGGAGATGACATTTATTGGAATATGACATAATACAATGTGTATTTTAAGATCTAACTGCATTGTTATAGGAAAATGGGTGGATGGTTTAAGAGTAGAAAAGAATAGAAGACAGGTGTGGTGCTGCACACCTGTAATATTAGAGATGTGGGAGGCTGAGGCAGGAGGATTGCAAGTTTAAAGTCAGCCTCAGCAACTTAGTGAGGCCCTAAGCAATTTAGCAAGACTCTGTCTCAAAATTAAAAAAATAAATAAATAAAGGGCTGGAGATGTTGGCTCAGTGATTAAGTGTCCCTGGGTTCAATCCCTGGTACAAAAAAAAAAAAATTGGGAAATAACATCTGGAAGGGTGTGGCAACAGAGTGGATAGTATAATGTGATCTAGACCAAAGATGGTACAGAGTAAATGAAAACAAGCTAATGGATAAAAGACACTTTGGAGACAGAATGGAGAGAATGTGATGATATGGAAATGAGGGACAAGGTGAGTCTGCAATGGATCCTGGTGTGTGTTATGGTTTGGATATGAGGTGTCCCCCAAACATTCTGAGTCAATATAGGAATGTTGAGAGGTATAATGATTAGATAATAAGAGTTGTAAACTAATCAGTGAATTAATTCATTTAATGGATTAATAATGCTGAACTAACTGGGTGATAAAGTAGGCAGACAGGGCATGACAGAGGAAGAATGTCACTGGGGGCATGCCTTTAAAGTTTATATTTCCTTGGTGCCTTGCATATTCTCTGTTTCTGCTTCCTTGTCATCATTTTCTTTTTTTTTTTTTAAACTGGGCTGTCCCGGACAATAATTTTTAAAAAATTATGAGTATTTATTTATACATATTGTACTAATATTAATTTCCTGGTTTTGACATTGTACTATAATTATATAAGATGCAACCATAGGGAAAACTGGGTGAGGGACTCAGAAGTTTCTATATTATTTTCACAACTTCCTGTGAATCTGTACTCATATTTAAAAAGAGAAGAAAGAAAGAAAGAAAGAAGAAAAAAGAAACCAGAAGTTTTTTGGTGAATTAAATAAATATTTATGTAAAAAACATAAATAAATACAGAAGAAAGTAATCTATCATCACACTATAGCTATCTTGTTACTAAGGATTAAATCCTCTAGGTAGTTATCCTGATCAGCTCATTAACAGACTCTCAAAGAGTATTACATCATAAATAGATCCCCAAATAGCAAAATACAGACTGGGTGTGTAGCTCAATGATGCAGCACTTGCCTGCCATGAGCAAGGCTCTGGATTGGATTCCCAGGACCACACGTACATACACAAAAATCCAAAGATAGTCCTTCATGCTTACCTGTGATTATTCTGTAATATCTCTTTTCTAACCCAGGAAAATTCTTCAGTATTTGGTTCAACATATTCAATCTTACATCTCAGAGCTCGGTATTTGGCAAGACAAGGTGGGTTGGGTTTGGACAAATGAGTTTCACAGACATTAACCATGTCTCTTATTAGCTATAGGCAGAAATGACACACAGATATAAGAATCACCAGATATCAAAGTTAGTATTTATATTACATCAACACTTTGTCAAAAAGATTGGGGAAAATCAATTTTCTCCCCAAAGCTTTTCATTAATATTCACTGTTAGTAGTGTATTACAGTTAATAAAAGTCAGTTATGGTGGTGCACATCTATAGTCCCAGCTACTAGGAATGCTGAGGAAGGAAGATCACTTGAGCCCAGAAGGAGTTCAAGGTAAGCCTGAGCAACACAGCAAGACCCCATTTCAAAAATATATAAAATAAAGTGAAAATTAATAAAATTGCCTTACTGATAATAAAATGTAAATATACATTAATATAACGTCATTGTTAATAAGTTGTTTTAGATACATTATTAATTTAGTCCTCATTACATCACTGAGATAGTTGTCCTCATTGTATAGATGAGGAACTCGAGGCTCTGAGAAGTTAAATCAGTTATTAGAGATCTCAAAGGGAAGCTGGGTGTGGTGGTGCATGCCTGCAATCCCAGTTTAGGATGCTTAGGTAGGAGGATCATGAGTTTAAGACCATCCTGGGCAATTTAGCAAGGCCTTCTCTCAAAATAAAAATAAAAGGGATGGGGGTGTAGCTCAGAGGTAGAGTGCCGCAAGGTTCAATCCCCAGTACCATCAGAAAAGAAAAAGATCCCACAGCAAGAAGGTGACAGTCATTAAAGGGAATCCCAGATCATTAGACTTCAAGTCCAATGCTGTTTTAAAAATTCATTTTGTGTTCCAAATGCAAGTGCTGTGTAGTCGTACATAATGATGTTTCATTCAATGATGGACCACTTAATAGTAGTCCCAGAAGATCATAATGGAGCTGACAAATTTCTACCACTGAGTTGCTTAGTGCCTCCTGCCTCCAGCTTCCCAGCCACTGGGATTACAGGCGTGAGCCACCACGCCAGGCTTAATCATCATATTTTTAAAGAAGTTCCCCTAGCACATTTTATTTTATTTTTTTTTCCCCAACATATTTTAAATAGTTTATTTCGGAGGTTTACCTGACAGAGATCCTCTTTCTTAGTTAGTAGTCTCAGGTTAACTTCTTCAGTGACTGGATGTTTGTGAGGTATTAATCTGTAGAACTCAGTCATCATCTTTTGCAATTGTTCTGCTGTTTCTCCATTTTTCAGTGCTGTCTTTACTAGAAGGAGGATACCCTCTGCCTTGCTCACCTATAAATAGAAAGTAATATATACTTATTAAAATTAAATCTTGATAATCATAGAAGTGAGGGAACATAAAAAATATCTAAAGTAATACTTGAACACATTACAACTATCAGTTTTCTACTGGACAGCTGCTGTTAATTTGGATCTTAAATGTCCCTCAAAGGCCCAGGTGTTAAAGCTTTGTTCCTAGGAGGTGTTATTGAGAGACAGTGAAATCTTAAAGAGATGGGGGCTTAGTGGGAAGTGTTTAAGTTATTAGGGAAATGCCTTTGAAAGGGATTGTATGACCCCAGCATCTTCCTCGTTCTTTTCTGCATTCTGGACATGAGGTAAGTGGTTTTGCTTTGATAGGAATTCCTGACATGATGTGCTACCTCACCATAAATCCAAATGAAGGGACAATCAATCATGGACTGAAATAGCCAAAAGAAACATTTTCTCTTTATAAGTCAATTATCTCAGATATTTCACTGAGGTGATGGAAAGCTAACTCTGTCACCATAAAACAAATGCTAATCTCAATGTGTAACTCAGTTGTGACAATGATGTTATGGGGACTCTTCCAAAACTTGACTCAGCCTAACTAGAAGAAAGAACCAGAGTCTTGTATTTCTATATCTATATGCACATGTATTCACATATGTACATATAGATAGGAATACTAATACAACTGTGGGAGACTTGCTTTTCATTTGAGAAATGTTGAAAGATGTCAGCATAAAACCAGGAACAAAACCCACCAGATCACATTCCTAATTATACAAGAGCATTATCAACTTTATCCCAGGAAACTCTTTTCTCTCTAAAATAAATTAGTTCAATTCCACATGGGAATATCTGTATTATTTTCATATAAGAACACAGTTACACAAGTTGCACCATTGGGGATATCTTATTTCATTGTTCTTTGAATTTCAATTACATATAATCAAGAAGATATTTACATTTTCTGTTTGTTTTGGGAGCATGCTTGCTTTTCCTAAGACAGTCAAAAGGTGGGGGTTGAGGCATCTAACTGGAGGCCAAGACTTTCCAAATGCCTCAGCCTGCTATAAATCTCTTGGCACAAAGGATCAGGCTCCTTAATTAGCCAGCACCAATAGCCTGAAACTGTACAGACAGGGATGTCTGGTTTCCTGGGAAGCTTAGTGCTTCTCTTAGCATTCCCTTTCCTCAGAATATGAAGAAAGAACAGCCAGGAATGAATTCCAGAACAATCTAATCAGCACACAAATTTGTTTTTAAAGACAGACTTTATTCAAAGAGAGAGAGAGAGAATTTTTCAATATTTATTTTTTAGTTCTCGGCAGACACAACATCTTTATTTTATTTTTATGTGGTGCTGTGGATCGAACTCAGAGCCCCGAGCATGCCATTAGCACAAAATTTGAGGGTGATCATTTAAACTAAGAAACCAGAAAGCCGGTTCATCATGTTCTGTTTCAAAAACATACTTTACTTACATCATTGAGGCTAATCCTGTTCACTGGCTTGAGAAGTGTGTGTTCCAGATGGCCCAGAGCTTCTGCCCAAATCATCTCCACCAAATCACTCACCTCCTGGCTCAGGGTGCTTGAACTAACAGCCTCCTCCAAAAGCAACTGCAACAACAAAATAACAAAGGGAATGGGGCTCAGGGATTGAGAACACCAGAGTTCAATTCCTGGACCCCAAAACAAGACAAAAGGCAAAAAACTAACAAAGCTGACAAAGGTGTTAGAAGAAATAATTCAGCATGCTCAGCCAGATGTTATGGTTTGAGCATGTTTCCATGAAAGCTGATGTGCTAAAAACCTAGTCCCCAGTTACAGTGTTGAGGTGGTGGAAATTTTAGGAGGTGGGGCCTGGTGGGAGGTGATTGTACTCAAGGGCAAGTAGAGATTTTTAATTTTCTCAGGGAAAGGAGTCTTGTTTTCCTTTCTACTTTTCTACCAAGCTGTGATATAACCAAGGGGTCCCTTGCCAGGATGCTGATGTCACACTGTTTGAACCTTCTGGCCACCAGAATTGTAAGCCAAATACACCTCTTTATCTATAAAGTACCCAATTCAGGTTTTTTTGTGATAACAGACAAAGACACCAG